AATGAAGCACAGATAGACATTCTTCTGGTATTCTTTGCTTTCTGCTAAGATCCATCTGACATTAGCTATAATATCCTTAGTACCACGACCTCTTCTAAATCCAGCCTGCACATCTGGCAGTTCTCTGTTGACATACTGTTCCAAACGTTTTTGGATAATTGGATCCACAATCAACACCCTTGGTACCAGCAGTCAGGAAATAAGGAGACAAACTACTCTGAGCACATCTGCTGACAAGAACCTCTCCAAACTGCTTGAAGAACAACGATGTCAGTTTGAAGACGAAGGTGTGCATGATTCAGAACATGGTCTGTTCAAAACGTATTAAGCATCTGAGAGCTAGACAATGAATAAAGATGACAGAAGAAAAGTCGATGCCTTTGAATTATGGCATTGTAGAAGAGTATTGAATATCCATTTCCTAAACTAAGAAAAGCACAGATATGTCTTAGAAAAGGTGCAGCCAGAGCGCTCCTTTGAGGCAAGGATGGCAAAATTTTGTCTCTCATACTTTGGACATGTTGCTAGAAGAGGCTACTTCTTGGGACTAGGCTATCATGCTTGGAAGGGTGGAGGGTCAGCAAAAGAGAAGTACACCCCCATTGAGTTGTAATGACATGATGACTGCAGCAATGGGCTCAAGTGTATTAGAGATGTTGAGGATGGCAGAGCATTGGACATGATCCAGATTTCTTGTTCACAGGGTCACTATGAGTTGTATTTATCTCGATAGTACCGCATAACAATAACAATATGTTAGAAAATGTTGCATAGGTAATATATTTTGCTAGATCTAGCAAGAAGCTGAGTAGCAATCCCAAAGGCATAGAGTTCAAAACCATCTGCTGCTCCACAGGAGAAAGATGGGCAATCTCCTCCTATGCGATTAACTGCCTTTGAAAACCTCCAGAGGGTCAGCTGTGGATCAGTTCTGACTCCATGGTACACAACAACATTCTCAACAACACTCAATTTAAAAAAAAAAAGGAAATTAAGACATTCTCATATAAAAATTGAGGGAGCTTGAGGACATGCCCAACAGAAAATGTTAAAGAGATCCTTTGGGCTAACAATAAAAAATGAACACTAAATAGCAACTTGAAACCATATGAAGAAAAAGTACTACAAAAAGTAGCTACATCACAAATCCACCAACTTCTTCAAGGTGAAAGAAGAAAGTTTCAAAGGAGAAAGATGGGTAATTTCCAGTTTGATATACAGTTTTTGGAAGGTCACTAGAGGGTATACCAGTTACAAGTCAGTTCTGGCTTGAAAGCACATAATAAATAATCCTTTAAAAATAAGGAAATGACTACAAAGAGGCATTTGTTCTCACCTCTCTACTGAGATGGACCCACTCTTGCCTTTTAAGAGTACTCCTCTTGCCTACTTGTAAATTTTCCTATATCTTAATAAACTTTCAGTCATTAATTATCAAAATAAAAATCCATAAATAAAAGTAGCTACATCAGTAAATATAAAATGAAAGACTGTTGTATTTTTAGTTTGTAATTCCTCTTTATCCTTCCCTCCATAAGATCCAACAGTGAAATTCTACATAGTTAATGTTATTTCAATCAGGAAAAAATTAACAAATTGAAAAATAAAATACTAGCACAAGTAAACATGGTTTGTAAAACCAAGTGAGAGGACTCACATTTTATATTCTAAAATAGGTATTTCTGATTTTTATTTTCAAAAGGAAAATATCCAGAATTGAGCTCAAATTTAAATATCTAATAGGAAAGATCACAAGTGGGAAATTATCAGCTCTGCTAATATGTTATTATAATGTCTCTATGGTCTGAGTTCCCCATTTGTAAAATGGAAAGAATATGGCAATATTCTACTAAGAATTTATGGAAAGAAAAAAATAATTGGCCTGAAATTCTTAAAATACAATCACTGTTGGGAAGTCAATTTCAACACAGAGCCACCTTTCTTTGAATTTGAATCTGTAAATCCTTACAAAATGAGACTGTCCATCTTTATCCCTCAGAGTAGCTGCTGGATTTGAACTACTGATCTTTTGGATAAAGGTGCAACATGTTACGCATTATGCAACCAGAACTCTTGTTAACAAAGTAGGAGTTAAGTCCAAAGCACTATCAATTGTTATTTGTCATGGATTGAATTGTGTGCTCCCCAATAAGGTATGGAATGTAGAAATTCTATAATGATTCTTCATAATACAATAAACCAAGCAGTTCTGAGAGATTAAAAATGAGACGTAATATCCTTAATTCCATCGTTAAGTATCCTTAAATTCCTCAATACAAGAAAAGGCCAAGACATATGGAGATCTCAAAAGAAGACTACACTGAAGTAAACATGGATCTTCCTCTAAGACTGACAGAGAAAGCATATCCATAAAGTCAGCATGCTAAATTTGAACTTGTATCTTCCTAAATTGTGAGTGACTAAATTTCTGCTTATTAAAGCCATTACTGATGGTATTTCTGATATAGCAGTACTAGATAAAAAATACACTACTTAGTATTCATAAGGAGTTTCATTATTTACCTGATGATGATGGATATTTCTTATGTAGCATGAAAAATTCTGATAAAGCTGAAACTTGTCGACATCCTTTTCATTTACCTTTGTTGAGGACATTTTTGCCAGACTTGACTGGATACAAATGGGTCTATTTTGGCACCTGTGCAGAAACATAAATAAATGTTTAAGTAAAAAGAAACTAAAATAAAAATCAGTTTGATTTATAAACTTTCACTCAAGGGAAAAAGAAATTAAAAAAATTAATAAACAAATAAGCTGGGTGTAGGAATAAGCAATATACAATAAGGGGTTAATCTGGCATTATAAGTAATTAATTATGCTAATTAACTATAATGAATGATATAAAATGTGTATGAATGACTAAATAAAAAACTAATTTGTAAACTTTCCTTCACATAAAAAATTTCTTCACACAAATAAAGGGATGAAAAAAGAAAAATAAATGTACACTTTAGGAAAGAACCCGCTTACATGAAAATAATGAAAGTAGAGTTAATACAAATGAGCTTATTCACTGTTAAATGCAGCCAAATACTAAAATAATATTAATGATTCATAACTAGAAACCTTAACTTTCAATGAACATTTACAAAATGGACCAAATCTCAGCAATACAATTATCTATAAAAACACAACTCAAAATACAGGCAATTCTCCCACTTTAACTCATTCCTGCTAGAGTCTCTTTTTCCCCCATACACAATTTGAGAAAATATTCTCTCCCTTATATTTATACTCTGACAAGCAACAATACTCTCCTGGTTCATCTCCACCATTCCTCTCCCCCGCACAGTTCACTCAGGTCGTGGTACAAAGAGGAAGAGCAAACCCTTCCCAAAGTACATAGAAACTGGGTAAAAGATTAATTTTTATGTTTTATATGTTTAATGTTACCAAAATCCACATATGTAAGTGCAATCTAGAACTTTACTCTTATAATCTACTACTATGAGTTGATGGATAAGGTGACTCTCTCTATCCACAAAATACATTTTGAAATCAGCACTTTAATCCATATCATATATTAACATTTTCATGGCAGTCACCGACAAAAAATAGAAAAGAACTTGACAAGCACTGTGGCAATTGGACAATTAAAACAGACATTCGGATGGCGGGGAAGAAGAACAAACTGGGGAGGAGGGTGGAGAGAATGGTGCGGCAATGAAGGAGTGAAAGCCCAGAATCCCTGTAAATGTTCATTGAAACTAATAAAATTTAATAATAAAAAAAAAAATTGAAAAGAACTGTTAGAAAATTAGACATCATATTTTTTTTGAGATTACAACATTAATACACTAAAGTGGTTTTATTTCAATAAAAGGAATTATTTACTAACTACTGAACATAGCTTTCTCCAGCAGAGCCACATACAAGGTCATTAAAAAGAAAAAACTAGAATAGAGGGAAAAATATACCAAGGAATGAGCATAACATTTTTCTTAAAAAAATAATTAAAATTCTCCACTCCATGTGTCTCCTAACAGTCGTAATACTTAAGAGTGAAAACAAATTGCTGCTTATCTATACAGTGTTTTACATAAGCAATAGAAGCAAATGAATTTGTCAAAAAATTGCGACATCATAATATTTTTAAAAGTAATGCCATCTATTATAAATGAATATGAATTTCTCTTTAATGTATATTATCTAATACAGTGGGTTTTATACTATGTTCTTCAGAACCTTCCAGAGAGATGTCTTGGCGTAAAAAGGATGAGTAGGCAAAGTTCCAGACTCCCTGCCCAGAATTCAATTAAAACAACTTTACTTTTATCTGTTCTACACATTAAAGTTCTGTTGTTTGAACAGGGAGTCCTAATAACAAGGAATCTGAAAATAAAGGGTTTTTAATGAATATTAGAGTAAGTCCAAACCATGTAACCCTTAACAGCATGATTCTGCGGTCTATAAAAATTACTCACAATGTCCGAATGAAGTCAAGTGTATCTTTGTCTTTAGCAATCATGTCTGCTAAAATATGCTGTACTCCTGTTTCAATCTCCAAGAGTGTTGAAAGCCCTTTAGAAAGAGTAAGAGGAAAAAAGAAAAACTGTAAGACTAATTTATAAGTCTATACTAAGATCACAATAAATATATTCCAGATCAAACAAAATCTTTTTTTTAAATAAATAAAATTTTTTATTTTAAACTAGGTTATACAAAGTTCATATACATTTAAACACAATCTTAAATTTATAAACATGAGAAAGATTAAGATATCATACCAAGGACTAGTTTTCCTCTACTTCAAAAATGAACCTCAAAACCAATACTGCAGGTCTTTTTCACATGCATAATTGTCGTTAGGTTTTGTCAAGTATGACTCATAGTGACCCTATAAACAACAGGTTTGAATCCTGTCCTACTCTGTGCCATATTCACACTTCCTGACACACTAGAGCCCACTGCAGTGGTTACTGTGTCAATCGACCTGGCTAGGGTCTTCTGCTCCATCACTGACCAGCATCATGTCCCTCTACAAGGAATAGCTCCTTCTAGCAACATGCCCAAAGTATGTGAGATGAAGTCTCATCATCCTTGCGTCCAAAGAGCACTCTGGCTGCCCCCTCTCCAAGACATATTTGTTCTTTTAGCAGTTCTTGTTAGTTCTTTATCAGTGCTCTTCTTTAACAAATCTCAAACACATCAATTCTTCTGTCATCCATCAAACACATCAATTTTTCTGTCATCCATATGCACTGTCCAGCTCTCAGATGCACAGCAAATGATCAGAAAGACTATGGCCTGAATCAAACACACCTTAGTCCTCAAACTGACAACATTACTCACTGCAGATTTTCCCAGTGTAATGTGTCTCCTTATTTCCTGACTGCTTGTACCAAGTGTGTTAATTGTGGATCCAAGTAAGCTGAAGTTGTTGATAGTCTCTTCTCCATTCATCAGCATGTTGCCTATTGGTGTAGTGGTAAGAATCTGTTTTCTTGACATTGAGATACAATCCAAATTGAAGGCAGCATTCCTGGATCTTCTGCAACAAGTGCTTCAAATTTTCCTCACATTCAGCAAGCAAGGTTGTATCATTTGCATAACATAGGTTATTTATGAGTCTCCCTCAAATCCTGATGCCACATTACTCTTCAGAGTCCAGCTTCTCAAATAATTTGCTCAGTATAATAGACTGAACAGGTATGGACAGAGGGTACAATCCTGACGCACTCCCTTCATCATTTTAAACCACGCTTCCCCTGCTCTGTTCGCACAACAGCCTCCTGGTCCAGGTATAGGTTTTGCATGAGCACAATTAAGTGCTCTGGACGTCTACTCTTCTCAATGTCAGCCACAACTTGTTATGATCCATACAGTCAAATGCATCTGCATACTCAATAAAGCACTAATAGACATTCTTCTGATATTCTTTACTTTCAGTCAGGATCCATCTCACATCAGCAATGATATTCTTAGTGCCACAGCCCCTTCCAAATTCTGCTTTGAACTTTTGGAAGTCCTCTATTTATGTACTGTTCTAGCATTTTTGAATGATCTTCAGCAGTATTTGCATGCATGTGATTTTAATTGTATCACATTAAGAGAATATAATGATAGAAAATTAATGACATCACATTAACAGAAAATTCCAAAGGACAGCTCGTTAGGACAAGGAAAAGTATCATAATGGAATGTGCAGAAATTTGGAATTGGAAACTAAAAAAGGAAGAACTTGCTCAGCATTTCTCAAGGTGAGAGAACTGAAAACCAAATTTAAACCTCAAGTCACAATATTGAAAGATATCATGAGCAATATATTGAATGACCCAGAAAGCATCAAAAGAAGATAGAGGGAATACACAAATCACTGTACTGAAAATAACTGACTGACACTGAAAAATTTCAGAAGTTCCACATGAGAAGGAGCCAATGGCAATGAAGGAGGAAGCTGAAGTGGCACTGAAGGCATTGGCAAAAAATAAGGCCCCAGGAATCAATGGGATCTATTTCAGTTAACAAATGCTGCCTGGTATGCACTCACCAGTCCATGCCAGAAAATCTGGAAGACAGCTATTTGGTCAGTGGATTAGAGAGGTTCATATTTGTTCCCATTCCCAAGAAAAGGGATCCAATAGACTGTGGAAACTATCTAATATGCATACTAGGGGTTAGAGGGCAAATGCAGCTTGTCCTATCACTCAAACTGTGTGACCCTGGGCAAATTACTTGACTTTGTTATGACAAAGGACATCTGAAAAGCCTCCATCGGTTTGAAAGAAGATAATCTGTTGTTGTGTGCCGTTAAGTCAGAACCAACCAGTATCTGCCCCTTCAGCAAGTTTTCAGAGAGTAAATCTCATGGAAGGAGAATGTCCATCCTTTTCCCACAGAGCAGCTCTTAGATTTGAACCACATGCCTCCGGGATTATAATGCAGTTATTTACTATGAGGCCACCACAGCTGAAAAGCATCCATCATTTTGAAAGAGGGTAATATAGAAACTTTAAATAATTAAAATTCCACTATAAATCTTTAGAGCTGTGTTTTACATAGTCTCTTCCACTGCTCTCCTATCAACTCCAAATCATAACAATGCTATTGGACAGGGAGACAAACTGTTCGAGAAGGATTTAAGACTATAAACCTTTATGAAAACAAAATGCCTCATCTTTCTCCCTCAGAGTAGCTGGAGAGTTCCAACTGCTAACTGGAAGTTGGCAGCCCCTAGTTTAAGCTACCAGGTTGCTTTTCTGTTTCATTTAAGGACTCTAAAATAAAATCATATTAAGTACTCACTAACATGTAAAAAGTGTAACCAAATCTATTATGCTAAAGGGAATCCCACATAATTTCTATACTTATTAAAAATAAATTTTAAAAAAACCACTGTCAGATTTGCATACTCAATTTCTTTTTATCATAAATTTACATTTTCTAGATTATTTAAAACAAGTAAGATTATGATGTGCTTTGATTCTCTACAGTTTACATTTTCTTTGTTCTTTAACAATAAAATGCTGGATTTATTATCAAAGACTGCCCCCTACTGACATTTCATATTTCAGTCTCCCAACTTAAGACCAAAAGAAACAAGAATAAGGACCATAGTAAGAGCATTGAGCTCTCTAATCATAGCATGCTGTTGTTAGGTGCCATCGAGTTTCCTATAAAAACACAGTGACCCTGTTGAGCTGATCTTTGCCCTATCCTATACATACTCACAACCTCTGATATGATCTAGTCCACTGCTGAAAAAGTCACAGTGTCCACAGAACATCTGAAAAGATTCCCTCTTCCCAAATGGTGCTAACCCTAAGGTGTGTTCTGAAACAAAACTAATGCGTCTCAACATGTATCAGCTGTCCCATTCCTGGGGATTTTTTTCCTTACAAATCTCTCACTTGGAAGTAAGTTCCTAAATGAGATAACACAGAATATATTCTAGAGATAATGGGGCTTTTTTCACACCTCATGCACATCAGAATTGTTAAAAATTCTTTTTAAAGAGTAGATATAACTTTTATTATTATATAACATTTTTAGAATAGATTGTCTTTAAAGACTTTATAACCTTGGAACACAACGGAAATTTCTTTTAAAAAAAATTATTTTTTTTAATCGATCTACTAAGCAACTGCACACAGAAAATATACAGAGAAATAAATAAATAAAATTTAAAAAAATATATACAGAGGAGCTATGAACTAAGAGACCTGCAACATATGTAACGGACAAGCCACCACTGTCGAGCTAGTTCTGATTCTCAGTGGTCCTCCATCTTTATAGAGAGGAAACTGCCCCTCTTTTTTAAATGGAGAACACAAAAGCAAAATGGAAAAAAGAATAGTATCAGTACTTCGTGAAAAACAAAAGATGGAAGAATAGCTAGGAAGTGGGTAAACAGGGATTTAATGTCTGCAAATTACTTTATTCCTCTTATATGTTGTCATATGCTTTTCGTATCCGTCATTACTTAAAACCATCTTCAAAATAAAATTTCAAATTAGGGAGATGGAGAGCTAGAGAGAGGTGAGGCCCTGTCTCCTGCAGTGAAGTCCTTACCTTTCACGTTGGGTTTAAGGTAGGAGAGCAGATTGAGCGCCCCGGGGTTCTCCAGCAGTGTTCTGGCTGCTCCTTCTAAGCCCAATTGTTTTGCTCTCTGGGCTTTGGTGCCTTTGCTCCCAGTTTTATAAGGGGCAGACTAGAAAGAAAAGTTAGAAAACATGTAACATTAAAAAAGAAAAGTTAAAGCTAAAATACACATTAGAGGAACACAAAGCTGAGAGTGATAAAGGCATCCTATTTTTAACCAAATCTTCTTCCTTTAGACATCCATTAATACAATGAATTGTATTAATTTTGTTGATCTGCTATCAGTTGCCATTAAATCGATTCCAATAATAACCAAATTAAAAATATTGTTCTTATTCCTTAAAATTTACTGTGTGTTTAAAATTAGGTTTGGTTTTTTCCACTCGTCTTGAAACTCAATTCCTGAACTGCAAGGTAAATGCTTCACTTCAATCAAGCTTAACTAAAAGCTGTAAACATTCAATGCCTCTATTTACTTCATATTCACTTTCAAGGTACCATCTCATTGAAAATTATACACACTTTACCACAAGTGGTATCACAAAGGTCCACAATGATCTAGTTGCCAGATAAATCTTTTTCTCACCAAACCTCACTGGTACATGTCATCATTTAATTCTTGATCACAGGCAGTCATGCCACCATATAAGGTTTACTGTAGCATTTACTTATAGAAAAAATAATTATTTTTTATAGAAGGTAGATAATCAAGCCATTCTTTCAGGTCCTCTAGGTGAACCTGAAGTTCTAGGTTAACTGTCTGCACTACTCAGAGCCTTTTATTCTAAAACTCACTCCTTAGACTTGCACACTGACATCACCTTATTCTCCTCACATCCCTCTCACCATTCCATAGCTACTTCTTGGGCTCCCATCCTTCACTTGGACTTGAATGTCACTGATCTCCAGTGGGCTACCCAGACAAGCTCATCCTAGAGAGGTTTCAATTAGTGAACCGTTCCATTTAGATAGTTTCAAATACTATCAGGCTGAAGACATCTACAGCTAAGTCTCCAGCTAGTCTTCTCGCTATGTTTCCCACTTGTATAACCTACTCTTGCTCTTCTCCATTCAAGATAAATTCTTTGAGAGAAAGAATTTTTGTAAATTGTTCATGAGGGTAAACCTACATGCCATGCACTTAATAGATACACAAAAGATATGTATTTAATAAAGAAATTTTTTTCTGAATTAAATTCATGTAGCTGATAAATTTAAATCTCACAGCACCTAACTACAAGCTGATAAATTTAGCTTTTTATTTTCAAGTTTTTTTTTAAATTTATGTTGTTAGATGCCATTGCTTTGACTTAAACACAAAGAAAGACTAGGTATAACAGAATGAAACACTGTACAATGTATTCAGATATTACATTAAAAGGGGGGGGAAAGGGAGGGGGAGCTCCTTACCACATGTTCTAGTTCTTCAAAAGTTTTACAGTTCAGCAAAGCCTTAAACAAGCACTCTGACATCTTCCCATCTTTTTTAATTTTCTGGATTGTACTGTGAACCTTTTTTGCAACAGCCCTGAAAAGACAAAGTTGTATAGTATACAAATCCAGGGGGTATAGTATGTTAAGATGGCTAACAAAAGGTCATCAGTTGACTGGCCATGCTGCTCTGTGAAAGAAAGGCAGTCTCCTGTCATAAATACCTGCAGCCACTGAAGCATGAAAGAACATTGCCAGGAGTTGGAATCAACTCATAAGCAGTATCTTTGGATTTTGGTATGTGTCAAAACATTCATTCTTAAACATCCCTGAGGAATGCTCCCTTTCTACTCCCACTCAGGATGGAACAAACAATTAGGCTTTGACAGTCTAAGGAAGTCAAAACTTAAGCACTGTGTAATGAAATCTGGCCCTAGAATCTCCTTTTTCTAAAATACAGGTTTATTTACAAAATCCGTACACATTGTTTTTCACACCAATCTTTCCCATTTTCTTCATCACCACCCCTTCACCCATCAAACTGTGCGACTCTATGATTAATGCCTCCCACTCACCCATCCTCCCCTGCCTCAGATCCTCAGACTTGTTCCACAATAAAGGTCTTATATAGTATTTGCCCTTATGGGACTGACTTAGTTCATTTAACATAATGAATCTCTTAAAGTGCGGTGAATGTGGTCTGTTAATGGATTTCTAATGTATAATAACATTCTCCAACTAAATTTATTTAGGGAGTTCTGGTGGCTTAGTGGCAAGAAGCTGCACTGCAATCTCAAAGGCACACAGTTGGAGGCTATCAGCAGCTCCAAGGGAGAAAGATGGGCAATCTCTTCCCATGTGATTAACCCACCGGAGGGTACACAACAATATCAACAATGTAGAATACCATTCTGTAACTAAATTTATTTTGCAAAAGGGAAGGAAAGTGGCCTGAAGTCCTTTATACTCAGGAATTTCTCTTTTTTCATGAAAAACCTTAATTTGTTTAATCTCATGTACAACTGAGATTTTTTACCTTGGTCTCTTCCAGTACAAATGACAGAAAGGAGACAAAGTCCTGGAGAAGGGTTTTTCTTCATGGCGTAATTTGCCAGGTGAAACCACAAAACCTCAAAGGAACCCTCCATCTCATTCAAACAATTATAGGCCACAACATCCCTTACCACTCTGCCTGTGTGTCTCTCAATATTAACCCTATTTATAGTAGCCTGACCAAACACCAAGACCACATGTGTCTTTTCTGGGGCTGGTTGTCTGTATTTTATTTTTTTATTCCAATAAAATTTTATTTGTAGATTTGGAAATTTTAATGGCATATAATTTTCATGTGTCACAAAATAATATTTTCTCCAACATTTAAATAAACATGTAAAAGACATTCTTAGCTTGCTGGCTGTACAAAAACAGATCTGAGTGGCTATGGCTTGAGAGCTGTACACATGTGTCTCTTAGCAGGTCTGCTTTATAGGTGTGAAAGAAATAGCTGCAAGGACCAGTTCTTGGAGAAGGACATCATGCTTAGGAGGATGGAGGGCAGCACAGGAGAGGAAGACCCCAGATAAAATGGATTGACTCAGTAACTGAGGTAATGGAAGTAGGTGTGCTAGACACAATGAGGTTGGCTCAGAACAGAGCAGGTTTCAGAGCTGTTGTACACAGGGTTGCTATGAGTCGCAAGGGAATAGTTGGAAATTTCTCATTGTCTCTAGTGTATGAGTTGCTGTTATTAAGTAAGACTCATAGCAACACTATGAACAACAGATCTGAACCACGTCTCTCCTGTGCCATATTCACAATCTCTGACATACTCGTGGCCATTGCTGCAGTCATTGTGTCAAACCACCAGCTGAGGGTCTTCTTCCTCTCTTTCATTGAACCTCCACCTTTCCAAGCATGGTGTCTCTCTCCTAGGAATAGCTTCTCCTAGCAATATTCCTCAAGTTTGTGAGATTAAGCTTTATCAACTTTGCCTCCAAGGAGAACTCTCTGCACCTTCTCCAATGCATATATCTTTGTTCTTCTGGCACTCCATGGGATATTCAAGACTTTTCTCCAACACCACAGTTCAAAGGCATCAATGATTCTCCTGTCATCCTTATTCACTGTTCAACTCTGAATAGTATAGAAAGTGACTAAAAGGATGTTCATATCCAAACTGATCCAAGGAGTTCTGGTGGCCCAATGGTAAGGAACTGTACTGCCAACCCAAACACAAACAGTTAAAATCCACTAATTGTTCCCCTGCAGGTAAATGGGCAATCATCTCACACATGATTTACTACCTCTAAAAACTAACTGGAAATGCAATCAGGAGAGGATAGAATTGACAAATATAAAATTAAGTTCCTGTGAGCATCAAAATATTTTTCCAATTGGCTGGAAAGAAAACCTATGGACCAGGGAAAAAAAATTGCCAATAATATTCCAGACAAGGGTCTGATAACGATAGAATGCTACAGGGCCTCCACAAGAAAAGTATTAGCAGTATAACCCAATAAGAAAAGGGGCAAAAGATATGAAAAGATTCTTACAAAGGAAGCCATTAGGTTGGCCAACAAACACATGAGGAAATGTTCAAATTGAGTAGCAGAGAGATGCAAATCAAAATGAGATACCATCTCACCCAAGGGGTAGCAGTGACAAAGCTTAATATGACAGAAAGCAACAAATGTTGAAAGGATGCAGAAAAATGGGAATTCTCATGCACTGCTTATAGGATTGGAAACCACTCTAAAAGGCACTTGGGTATTTCTTCAAAGAACTGAACACAGAAATTACTTATTAACAAGCTATTATACTGCTAGGAATATATCCCAAGGAAATCAGAACTGAGACATAAACAAAGATATGTATATTTACATTCATACTGACATTATTCACAATAACAAGAATAGGGAAACAGTCCTAGTGCTTATCAACAAACTAATGAATTGAGAAGTTGTGGTACGTCCATACAATGGAATATCACATAGCACTAAGAACAATGATTTCATAAAATACTATATAACATGGGAGAGTCTAGAGAGCATTATGCTGAGTGAAATAATTCAGTCTTATAAGGATAAATACTACATAAGACTATTACTATGAAAATCAAACCAAGCAAGATGTGCATAATATTCAAAAAAGAAAAAGGGCGGGGGGGGGGAGGCTAAGGGGAAAATCAACTCTTACATGATTTACAGCTTCTAAACCTGCTGAAGGGTCAGTTATGGATCCGCTCCAACTCGATAGTGAACAAAAACAAGAAATAAAGAATAAATAAAGAAGTAAAGAAAAAATAAAGAAATAAAGAAGAAATAAAAAATTATTTCCTTTTTAATTTCACAAATTAGAATGAAAACATACCAAAACCTCTGGGTCATAGCAAAAGCATTAGTCAGAAGTTCAGTTCATGGCAATAAACAAAGACACTGAAAAGGGAGAAAGAATGAAAACCACTTTCTTAATCCAACATTTCCAAAAAAGAGAGAACAGCAAGCAAACCCTACAATCTCCAGAAAGGAAATAATAAAGACCAGAAAGAAATTAAATAGAAAATAAAAAAATCAATTGAAACTATCAACTAGATAGTATTGGTTCTTTAAAAGGATTAATAATACTGACAAACTATTGGAAAAACTTAACAAAAGGAAAAAAAGACAAAAAGAACTTGAAAAAATTATTAAATGGGTAACATCACAACAACCAACTGAAATAGAAAGGATAATAATGGAATATTATGAAGAGCTATACACTGCCAAATTAAAAATCTAGAGGAAATAGACAAATTCTTAGAAAAGCATACCCTTCCTAAACTAACACAGACAGAAGTAAACACTTGAACTGAGCCATCACAAAAGAAGAAATTAAACTGGTCATTAAACATTTCCAATCAATTGAGAAATTGTACATTCACACAAAGTAATACTATATAACATGGCCGAGGCTGGAGAGCATTATACTGAGTAAACTATCTCAGTTCCATAAAGACAAGTACTTTTTTTTTTTTTGACAAATACTTTCTGAGAAAGAGCCATACTGCATTCCAGAGTGGTTGCACCATTTTACACTCCATCAATAGTGAATAAGGGTTCCAATTTCTCCACAATCTCGTCAGTATTTGTGTTTTGCTGCTCTGATGAACTTTGCTATTGTTACTGGACTGAAATAATATCTTATAGCTGCTTTGATTTGTATCTCTCTTAGAGCTAGGGATTTTGAACATTTCTTCATGGGCTTGTTTGCCATCTGAATGTCTTCTTTGGTGAAGTGTCTGTTCATATCCTGTGCCCATTTTGCAACTGGGTTGTTTACCTTTATCTTGCTGAGGTGCTTGAGTAGTCTATAAATTGTAGATAAGTCCTTTATCAGACATGTCATTACCAAATATTTTATTTTCCCAGTCTGTGGATTTCCTTTTTACCCTGTTGGAGAAGTTTTTTGATGTGCATAGAAATTTGATTCTTAGAAGATCATATTCATCTATTTTATTCTCTCCTGGCTGTACATTTTTCAGGATGCTTGGAAGAGTGTACATGTTGTGAATGAGGGCTTCTAGAGTTCTTTCAAGCTTTTCTCTGATACAGTTTATAGTCCTTGGCTTTAGTCCTAGGTTCTTGATCCACTTTGAGATGGTTTTTGTGTATGGTGTAAGGTGTGGATCTCGCTTGAGTTTTCTGCAGACAGTTTTCCAATTTTGCCAACACAGTTTGTTAAAGAGGCTATCATTTCCCCACTTAACTGATTTCATCACCTGTCACTGTTAGTTGACGAAAGGTAGATAGCTGATTTCCCGATTCTCAATTCTATTCCATGGACCTATGTGTCAGTCACTGTACCAGAAACACACTGTCTTGACCACCACGGCTATGTAGTAAGATTTGAGATCAGGGAGTGAGATGCCTCCTACCATGTTTCTCTATTTCAGGAGTGCTTTGCTTATTCGAGGTCTCATTCTATTCTAGATAAAACTGGAAATTGCCTTTTCCATCTCATTGAAGAATGGAATTGGTATTTGTATTGGGGTTGTATTTCTTTTTTATTATTATTATTATT